CCTTGGCCGAACAGCGTCGATGTTGTGAAAGTTGATGTGATTAGATTGATTAGTTATATATCGGTGGGAGTCGCTTTATCAGCTGTTACAACGGTCCAACGATTAACGATAGAGCGCGGTCGGTTGCACTGATTCGCTCGAATCGCGGAGTATGAACGCGGCATTAGGTAAATGCCACTGGGCTGTTCGACTAGTTTGGTGGCCTGCCCACTCGTCTGGCAGCTTGTGTTGTTCGCTGTAGAACGACTAAATCCATTCATGACGAACTGAACGGAATTAGCAGTTATTCTGTAAGGCGTCCTTTTTTCAGGATACATAACGACATCTGGATCGCGCCGACTGGACCGGGAAACCCAACGAGAACATGAGCTGTGGGTAGCGGTCTGTGATTCAGGAGAACCCCAGTTGTGCTCCTCGGTCCCAGTTGTAGTTACTGTAGACGATGTTAACGACAATGCACCCACATTCACACAGCCAATCTTCCATCACAATGTTCCAGCTGGGGTGACAGGACGAGTTAGCAGGTGAGGACTTTCCAAGTTCACAACTGCTTTCACAGAGATTGAGCTTCCTCTTCAGGGTATTTGCCAGTGATCTCGATGTGGGAAAGAATGCAGAGTTATTCTATAACATTACTGATGGGGACTCGAAGTTTTCGATCGATGAGAATGGATATATCTCGACAAGTGCGCCAATGAAAGCGGATGAGGTCAGCTATATTTTTATAGTTATGAGCCCTCAAAAAAAAGCAAAAATAAAACTATGCGGTCATGTACGGAGGGTCATGTTGTCGGATTCATTAATTGTTTTTGTTTTAAGGTTGCCACCCTGACCATCCAAGCGACCGATCGTGGCCTGCCAGCCCAAATGACTCAAACTCGAGCGATTCTGACGGCGATTGCAGCACCGCAAAGAGCCAAGGGATCAGTGAATCGCCCTCCGCAGTTTGCAAAGGGAACATCCCGGAAAGTTCCCGTCTCGGATGCTGATCAGGTGAGAATTTCTGATTTTGAATGTTCCTCATTTAGAAGTATTACCTCTGTTCCAGGTGGGATTCACAGTTGCCAAGTTGGAAGCAGTGGATCCTGATGGAGATACGATCTGGTGGAGTATAGTCGACGGAAACATCTATGAAGCGTTTTCATTGAAATCGGACAGCGGTCTTCTGCAGTTGGCGAAATCTGTCGAAAGCCTTCCACATAACACTAGCTCAGTAATCCTGAAGATTCGAGTTAGTGATGGTCCAGCTGGAAGGACACCGCTGAGGTAGGGGTTTTACTCTGTGTCTTCTGAACAGAGCTACCTAATCCTTGCTAGGCAGCGTATATACTTTGCAACTTCAGCCGCGCGGTTTATCGTCCGGTTGTGACCGACGCGCTCTACTGCTAATCGCTGGGCTGCTGCAACTGCTAATGCAATTAAAGGCAGTGGGCACAATAGCAGGGGGCGGACGGTTGCTGCCTACGTCATTGGTGGAAGGGCGAAGTGGGGTGTGGCCAAACGCTCTCTCGCAGCCGTTCCACCAGTGACACTGGCAGCAACCGCCCACTTCATCTATCGTGCCCACTGCATTTAAATTCGGAATGAAATTTTTCAATCGTTAGTCGGGGCCCAACGTTTAATGATGGGGAGCGATAAACAGGCGGTTACAATTGCACGACTGCATGACTCGAGTCGCGAAGTTTGCACGCGGCCTTAACACTTTTCTGTCACACTTGTAGAGGTTGAAAGACTCAGCAGTTTAGTTGTTTTCCAGGTGACCGTGATAGTCGGCGCGATTTCTTGGCGCCAGCAGTATAAGAGCAGATCTTCCGAGAAAACTGCCATCGGTACGCAAATTTATACCGTACGTGCTCGATCCAATGACATGAGTCGCACGTCGAAACCGCTGGTGTACGGTATTCATTCGGTTGAAGATACCGGTATGGAGGATAAGCTTCGTGTGGAGCCTACGTGAGTTCATATTCGTTTTTTTTCTGTCGCTTTTACTCATCCCTCTGGAAATCAATATTCAAGTCATTGGGTGCACGCAATCATACAGTTGGTTTTGATTCTTAGTTCGATTATTATTGAGTAGATGGGCAAGTGTACGTGGTGATGATGAATCGCTGGACTATGAAGTATGTCGAGAAATTCGGGCTATAATTTTCGCCCGTCAAGGAACACTCACCAATTACGTGACATTGACAGTCACAGTAACTGATGATACGATAAATGCCAAGATGTGCAGCATAAGAGCTATTGTGGTGACGCTTTGTCATCAGGGTGGTTCTTACTATTGTTCTCCTTGGTTATTGATGTTTAAATGACATAAGGAATTCGTAGGCGATCTTCCTGATTCAGAATAGCTCTAATTCCAAACTCTAATTAAGTCCTGTGTTTGTCGACTGTATGGAGGGGGGGGGGCATGTTTTTACGGAGCGCATCTGCTTCCTAGTTCGCGGTGTCACACATCTCTGCTGGTAAAACTTGTGAACCTTTGTGAAGCTGGTGCAGGATCGTCTAGCCACCATCCTAAAACGTGTCAACTCGAGAAAAGGCTACCTAGATGGGTCGGCACATCTATGGAAAGCAGAATGCCCCCCCCGTCGACAAACTGCGCCTCTGTCTTTGTCGCGGCTCTGAAGTGTGTAACGAAAGCGCGACGGCCTCATAAATGCAGTACTGACATCCAATTCCTACATTCATATTCTTTTTATTCATTTATTTATTCCTTTTAGTGCTCCCATTGGTTCCTCGGTTATTACTTTACTAGCTCATGACGCTGATTCTGGTGAGAATGGTGTGGTGAAGTACAGCATCATCAGTGGTGAGTCCTGCCTTTTCTGTACATTTTACTGATTTTTCCATACCGCACTTCTGAAGAAGTTGGATGAATGTCCTTGTGTAGAAGTGATCTGAAGTGCTGAATTTTCTTTTTAGGTAACGAGCTGGGCACATTTGCACTGGATCCTGTCCTTGGAGTCATTACTGTCGCTAAGCGCCTACCAGAAGACCATAAAGAGACTATTCTGACAGTCCGAGCAACTGATAGTGGTCGCTATCCGCTTAGTGATACGTCGAATGTAAGAATCCAAACCATAACCGGCGATGGATTCGGTTTACGTTTCTCAAGAGCATTGTATCAACGTACTGTCCGGGATTCTACACCGTTGGGATCGGTTCTGCTCGTGGTTTCTACCAACCCTAATGGAGATGCACGATATAGTCTGAGGCAGCCCTGCCCATATTTCGAAGTACATCCGGTAAGTTTAGATTGTAAGGTATCTCACTTGGGCATTTTTGAAATGAGGAAGAGTTTCAGGCATCTGGAGCGGTCTCGCTGATTCGCTGGTTAACAAGGGAGCGAGCCAAAAGTGTTGCTTGTACGGTCGTGGCGAGAAATCGAGCTGGTTCGGAGGATACTGCGAAGGTGAGGGTCTCAATAGTATGTGGGACAGGGGGATTATGCTGCTTTAATACTTTGTGATTCTGCTTGGCCGAGCGACTTTAAATCGGGCGGACGTCCAGAAGGTGCGACGTGAATCGCTCGACTCGGCAAAGTATGAACGCCAGTCTTGAGAGATAGTCAGCAGACGCCCTAAAATCGACTTCTCGTCAATTAGCTGTACTCGTACCTGCTCTAGCTTATAACACACTGTTCAGATCGTAATAAAAACGGCCAGTTCTAATCAGCATTCACCGATATTCAAAAGGCAATTCTACAAAGGATTCGCATTCGAAGAAGAGGCTTCCCAAGTGAGTCAAGTTTGAAAACAACACTTGATCTGCTTGCATAGTACTTTTGCGGGCTTTCAAACTCGACATTTAGCGGGCTTGCCCAGGATCTTCCGTCACTGGCTTTCGCAAGACGAACAACTCGCCTCTGCTGGCTTCTGCTGCGACAGATAAAGATGTTGGTCCCAACGCTCTCATCGGCTACCGTCTCCTCAATCCGAATGAACCGTATTTTGTGGTGGATTTCGTGACAGGAGCGATTCGCTCGAGGAGACCCCTGGATTATGAAAAGATGAAGGAGTGGATATTTTATGTGCAGGCTAGGTAAGTTTTGGTTTTTTGTTACCATTCCTTCATCTAAATCTCTTTTAATGGTGAAGTGATCAAAGTCATTGGGAACGTTTGCTGTAGGCGGGCGGTGGTTTTCAACGCCATTGGTGGAAGGTATGCGAGAAGGCGTGCGGCCACTCATCACTTCCACCAGTAACGTTGGCAACGGCCGCCGCCCGTAGCGATCCTGCCCACTGCCTTCAAATGAACCCTTTCTCTGGCCTTTTTTCTAATCATGTGGGGGCTGTTTTTTGAGAATCACCTTTTTTGATGGTGTCGAGCACTTCTTGCTCATTGTCTCCAATTTTTCACCTTCTGACAACAGTCCGGCGAACAGCCCGGAATCTGGTTCTGCCCACCCCCTACATTTGTCCTTTCTCTGGTATATCTCTCGATTTGAGTGCCTGTAGTGGACCAAAGCTAGCCCACTTTACTGAAACAGCAGTCCACGCGTACCGTACTGGCGAAGACATTCTACCACTGTGCCTTCTTACTTGGCGCCATCCCTTCTTAAACGTGTCAGAAGTAGGGTCGACGAAACAGGAGGGCACTGCTGTTGACGGAGTCCGCCCCCACGATGAGCGTGCACTGCATATTTAGGTGAGCTTCTAAAACGGGTTTTTAGTGACATGGGAGAGCCGGTACGATCGTCACCGATTCCTGCGATGGTTCATGTGACAGTGCTCGATACGAATGATCAAAAACCAGTCTTCACAAAAGCCAAATATGAAGTTGATCTGATTCTGCCGACAGTACCTGGTGTGGTCGTGGCAAGACCAACAGCAGTGGACGATGATACTGTAGGAAAACTGCGATACACGATCAAGGCTAGTCTGTTCTCATTAACACTTACTCATTGATTCAGGCGTAAGTTTTGATGGCGCTGGGGCTAAATGTAGCCTTTTCAGGGCAATACACATTCGAAACTGTTCTCGATCAATTCAACTGATGGATCGATAAGTCTGCTGAAGTCGGATACGAAATCGTTGAATCCTAGCGAAATACGTGGTGAGTTCTTTTGAAATTATTAGTTACCAAGTTTTGTGCTGGGTAAAGCTTTAAGTTTTCTGTAAAGTTTTTTTGGACTTTCTTGTTGAATCTTTCGCTTTCAGATGGAGGTCCTAGCTTCCGATGGCGTTCACACAGCAACAGCTACAGTTGAAATTTCCGTCCAAAAGACGTCTTCGGACTTCAGCGGATTCCGTTTCCCTCAGGTTGAATACACGGCCAATGTCAAGGAGAATACCACCTTCGCCCCCGGAGAACCTCTCATTGCGGTAAGTTCCACTGCAGGAGTTTTCGTAAATGCTTCTGCTAACTGGGAATGATTGCTTTGCAGGTAACTGCTGTCGGTGCACCAGAAGGTGCTAGTGTAACGTACCGAATTTTGAATGAACGTGAAGAAGTTTTCATCCATGAAGGCACTGGAATGATTTCACTCACTGGAAAGCGTTTTGATAGGGAAGAGGAACAGAATGTTCAATTGCTTGTGCAGGTTGGTGTTCGTTTATGTGATCTCACTGCTCTTGTGGTTCGCCTATTCATTGAGTTTTTGGCGGAATTTTCGAGGCAACAGTCACCTGTTGCCATAAAATGGTGGAAGACTTCTTGCGAATGGCCTGCAGGCACATCCACGGTGAATCAGCGGGGGTGGGGGGAGGACTTGGGTAAGATTTCCCTGCGTGATGAAGGCGTCTCAGATATCATCTGATACGGAGGTGTACTGTCAAGGATACTGGACCGCTGAATCACTGAAGCGTAGAAATGTATGAAGCCCAGACGTCAGGACAATAATTCCTTGGTTGGGGGTGGCTTATATGTACGAGCTATCGTGGACAGTATCATCACATATTGATCCATTGATGACTTGTTGAGAGTAAAATTGAAGAACGAAGTTTCATTGTAGTGCATGGGGCTAGGATGAGGTGGGAGCTGGAAACCTTTCCTTTTTCTGAGAAATCCGAGCGCTCATGGAGACGAGTTCAGGGATTGAAAGTAACCCCTTTCTGAGTCCTAGATCGAAATATTGCACGTTTTCTGAACATATAAATTCAAGATATGTTCCTCGGGGTGCCAGAAACGTGTCTTCGACCACATAACCCTTGAAAGTTCGGGTACGTCATGGTGGTCAAGACTTTTTGAACGTTGGGCTTCCCCAGCGAGGGGGCAAGCGTATTCATTCGGTCGGTGCATTGTGCCGGGTCGTATTTGCTTTTAGAAAAAAATGCTTCCGATTATTGCATTTTCTCCGTAAGTGCGCTATATAATACCCCCTCAACCCCCATGCTGGACGGCAACTTTTCTGGAGAAGAAGTGAAGGAACTTGAAAAAAAATTTCCGGGGAAAAGGTAGGAAGTTGGGGTAATTTAGCAACGAAGTAGGTAGGATGAGGAAGGAGGGGCCGTATCAGAGGAGGAAATCACGAGAGGGGAGTCATTTTTGCGAAAATTTGTCACAACGGTAGGACGTTCCCTGATGGGGGTAGCCTATTGGTAACATTTTTGAAAAGTAATGCTACCTGCATTGTTTCATTTGATAATTGTAGTGAAAAAAATTATCATTACAGGCTCGAACTCACGAGGTGAAACCACAACTGGCTCAAACCGTTGTCGCTATTCGAATCGATGACATCAATGACTGTGCTCCGGTTTTCGTCGGACTTCCCTATGATGTCGTTGTCAGTTCCGATTCTGCGATCGGAGAAAAGATCCTGACTGTGAAGGCTGTCGACAGGGACATAGGTTCGTGGTTCAGTTACTTTCAGATTTCGAGATTGCGGCTTGGGAGGGTGACATTTCACTGGTTTCCCAGCGATGCCATTCCTCCGTCGCCTGTAAATTCCTATTGCGTGGATTAGTCTAGTAGCTCTGCCAGCGGACGCGCATCCAAAAAATCCGAAATGGGGCGGCACGCAGAACCAGGTCACGACGCCACACGCGACAACACATGCGTATCGATCCTGCTGCCCCAACTCGGATCTCTTGACCTGCATCCTCTTGAGGGTACCAAGGTTCTCTACAGCAGATTTTCTTAATTCTCCGATCCCAGTTTGTGATCAGGGTTTGTCTAATGGCTGAGAAAAAGATAAAGGGGTCAATGAGGAGAGAGTTTTTCTAAGGAAAGGCAGTAAATGTGAGGCAAAAATCATAGCCCTCAATTCTTCCAGGAATGAATGGCATAGTGCGCTATCATAGCGTATCGCTTCCGCCTGTTTTCAAACTGAACAAGCATGATGGAAGGCTTACGATTAATGGGAAGCTTGACGATGCGAAAGTATATCGTTTTGAAGTCATAGCGACTGATCAAGGTAAGCACTGATGCCCACTTTGAAGAGTCATTTCATTACTTTTCTACTTGCTCAGATTGTTTCTACATTAATTCCTTAAATTTAGTGCTTTTTGTTGTCACTCACGCAATAGGACTCAGAATGCTATGGCGGTGTTCTCCGATTTTTCCAATTCCCAGGGCTGCGTTTATACTTTGCGTCAATGTTTTGAGCTTTTCGCGGCTATCGCTTATAACTCTGGGATACGCTGAAAACGTTGGCGTGCGCTTAAAATGCTTTAAATGGTAAATGCTGGCGCAAAGTGTGAATGCAATCTAGAGCGATGGATCTTGGAATACATCTTCAGATGTCCTTCCGTAGTAGTGCGATGTGACCAGGGATAGGATTTGAGGAACAATGGGTGCGCGGAAGAGAGACCAGACGGCAAAGGGGCAAGGGAGACAAGAGAAAAAGAGACGACAGGGGGCAGCGCACACGCCAGTCACGTCTTCCATGGATCATGCTATCAAAGGCACAATTTACGCTCGTAGCATGGGGACCACTTTATCTTTTGCGTTGGTTCCCTTCCAAAGAGAAGCTTGTCTATAAGCGATGCTCGGCGGCTTTCCTTCTTCGCCCATATGATTATCGTGGAATGTGTGACTTTGAATCACTTAACTAGGCATAGAAGTACAAATCTTCGCTTACAGGAGACCCTCCCATGAAAACTGTTCAACAAGTACGTGTCGATGTTGTGGAGAAAGCCAGACCGATCTTCACCAAAAAGCAGTACCAGGCGACAATTTCTGAAGCAGCACCAAAGAAAACTGTGGTTGGTTTTTCCATGTGGTGCCTCGAACATTCCTTCTAATTTGAACAAGTAATGCTTTTCAAAGAAGCTTATAAAATGGGTTTAGGTTTCCAAAGTCAAAGCTACGAGCAGTGTTGGTGGACATCTGATTTACACCATAGATGAAGGAAATGATGACGATCTATTTGTGATTGATATGGATACAGGTGAGCCTGGTGATTTCTTTTCGTTTTGAACTTGACTTTCACGAGTTTTTCCTCTATATAGAATCACTGGCTCTTCAAAAACTAAATGCAGGAGTGGCGTTAGCGGGCGGAATGTCCTTGAACGAGTTCAGGCGGCCAACCGCTGAGGGATCTGGAAGACCTGGAGTCTGCCCTAGAGTTTTACTATAGTCTCCAGCGCTTCATCAGTTTTTGTAAGTAAAGACATGGGCCGCAGCTGGTGGAACTTGGGGTAACAGGTTGCGCGAACTCCAGTCGTTTCCGC